GATGATTTCGATCACCGTTAGAAAACGTTATGGCCTACGATGGTTTGGCCATGTGAAGCGAAGCGAAAACGATACAATTATTTCCGTTACCAAGCACAAGGAGACAGACGCAATGGATAGATCGGCTTGGAGACAGAAACTGATGAACGGAATAAAAAAAACCGACCATAACGGATGGAGACTATAAACGAGGATTGATTAATATACGAGTATTTATATGTATAAATATATATTAATATATAACATAAATATATATATTTATTTATATAACAAAAATATATACTCATGTATAATATATACATTCAAACAAAATAATTTCTAAGGCGTTACGAATTGCACTATGCCAGCTAGTAATAATAAAAAATAATAATAAATAATTGAAACTCTTTATTATTACGCCCAAAAAATCAATTATAAAATTAATCATAAAGTTAAAGTATATACAATAAAATAGAATAAAAAAGAAAAAGTAAAATAAAATTGAATCCAACTTCATTGTTTAGAACAAGCGTAGAAAGATAAAATATTTAAATGGTTATTAATTATTTCATGCTTACAAATTAGTTTTTATTACAAATCGAGTAAAATAATCTGAATAATATAAGAAGAAAACAAACTTGCTTATCTCTACATCCTATTTCAGCTCCAAAACTTATAAGAAGCCTGACGACTTCAACGTGTCCCATAAAAGCTGCCCAATGTAATGGGCGTCTGTCTTTTTTATCAAGAACATTTAGTGATGCACCTTTTTCTAGCAATAACTTTACCATCTAAAAACAAAATTTTCTGCTTATTTTTAATTATAATGGAAATTTCATAAAAGCATCTATATGCAAACACCATGCTCTTTAGAGGTATTCCGGATCTATACACGTAAGCAAGTGCATCTTCAACAGCCTTTCGAAAGTTGGTCAGAAAAACAAGCTTGTTTTAGAATAGAAGTAAGCTCTTCCATAAAAAAAAGAAGCGTGCAAACAAAGAACAAAGTGTGGGAAAATATGATAGATGAATAAAGTGAACATGACAAACAGAGGGTCGGAATAGGAGTCGTTCGGAGATTTTTGCCAAGTCGGAATTTGTTGAGGGGCTGGTCCCAGAAAAAAGTATTTAATTTGAAAAAAATTTTCTGAAAGTTTTTTCAACACCGTTTTTTGGAAGATAAATTTCTTTTCAGTATGTTTTAAAACATAAAATTTTATTAATTTTAAACAATTACATTGACTGATTTTAAGTATTTTTAAATATTTTTTATTTAGTAATGATAATAAGATAAAATCATGATGCAAAGTATAAAATTTATCTGGGAGTCGGAACCTGGAGTAAGGAGTGGGTAATTTTTACCCAGAGTCAGTCGGAATTTCTTGAAGGGCCGAAGTAGGAAATTTTTCATCCGACTCCGACACTCTAATGA